CTATACTTGTTCAATTTATTCATGTGAGTTATTTGCTATTCACTCATTAAGTTGTTAGGTCACTTAAAATTATTATTTATTTTTTTTTTTTTTGGTGTGTGGTTTTGCACAGTGAATATACTTTTGATATATTTATTAACTCATATTGTGCCTGCATTTTTTACAAAGTGGCTGAATTCCTTGAATTCAGCTTTTAAGAATGGCTCTTCGTAGGTCTGACACTTTATGTATAAAGTTATGATGGTGCATTTTTCAAACAGGATATTAAAGAGGCAATTCCACCTATAACAGGCATATGTTTCTGACAGGCTGCTTGCTGACTATACCTATTGTTGTTTATTGCAAAGGGCAGCACAGTGGCTAAATGGTTAGCACTTCCGCCTGGCAGTACTAGGGTCATTGGCTCGAATCCCAGCCACGGCACCACCTGCCTGGAGTTTGCATGTTCTCCCTGTGGGTTTCCTCCTGGTACTCCGGTTTCCTCCCACACTCCAAAGACATGCTGGTAGGTTAATTGGATCCTGTCTAAATTGGCCCTAGTATGTGTATGTATGAATGTAAGTTAGGGACCTTAGATTGTACACCCCTTGAGGGTTAGGGACTGATGTGAATGTACAATATATATGTAAAGAGCTGCGTAAACTGACGGTGCTATAGAAGTACCTGAAATAATAACAAAGCAAGAGGTAAATACAGGTCAAGTGAAGGCTATGAAAATTGGCTGATGTCTTCCGGCACAGTGCTTGTGGACCTTCATGCCCATAACTATTCATCTCTACACACCGCACTCGTATCAAATACAGGCCATGCTGATACCAGGGGCGGACTGACCATTTGGAAACACGGGCACTGCCCGAGGGCCCGGGGTCAGTAGGGGGCCCCATGAGATGCCCCTGGTACCTTTTTTCATAGGCTTTTTTGAGTTTTGGCAAGGACATAGGGGCCCCATGATCCCCTATTGCCCGGGGGCCCCATGAGTTGTCAGTCCGCCCCTGGCTGATACAGTTCATCAACTGTTAAGGAGCAGCAAGAGACTGCAGACCACATCTTCACCTAGCTTTATGTGTCTCCGAATGTCTGGAAACATCTTACCTTCTGATATATGCAGCGTGCTCTAATATAGTCTGATAGTAGCGGTTTTAACACCTTGTCTGGTGTTCTACATAGAATATCAATTCCGTCAGCTGACACAACATAAACTGTGTTTCTTCTCTGTTTTCTAACAAACAGCTCTACTTTTCAGGCAGCAAATAAGACACAAGGCTTGCGGACATAAAAGGCTTTTTAGTGCGCCAACCAAATGCCTATTGATAAACATAACAGAATCTATTTTTACGAGACACTGAAGGCAGTTCCCTGATAAAGTCACACTAAAAACATCATCCTGGCTGGCCTGCAAGATTTGCCTCTGGTGCGTTGTAAAGATATTTTTAACATTGAAACGCAGACTTTGAAAGAGGCCCTGTCACATGCACACGGCATAATAATAAACATTTAATTAAAACATCGGAGCACTAAACATGTATCACATACAGTATGCTGCGGAGTGCTGCGCGCTAATGCGGCTATGTTAAAGCACATATTCCGTCACATTTATTGCTATGCATTATTCATGTTTTCTGTTATCTGTAATTGCCAGTATTTTCCTCCTCTGCTGTATCTTTATTGTGATATCTTTTTTTTTTTTTTATCCATGTTACTTTTAACTGTGGTTATTTAAAGCCCACCTCCTGTAATAACAAAAAAAAGACAATTCTTTGCAGTGTGTTGTCCCTGCATTGCAAGGGTAGAATTCTCATTAACTCTTGGGAAGGAAGAAAAAGGTTAATTCTTAACTTCTTGATTCGGCCCCTGCCTTTGTTCTGGGTTGTGGGTGGTCCCAAGCCATCTGCCTATACAGTGCAGGGCTATTGGCCTTGTACTGTACTTGCTGACATTGTGGGACCATGGCCTGGGGTGTATTATAGAAGAGGCGTCAGTGACTGTTCGAACATAAGGGAGAGAATCAGCCTGAAGGAGGAGTAAGGTAAATATCAATCAAGAAGTTAAGTATTACACCTTATCCTTCATTCCCAAGAGTTCTGGGTTGTGGGTGGTCCCAAGCCATATGCCAGATGGCTTGGGGCCATCTACAACCCAGAACAAAGGCAGGGGCCGGATCAACAAGTTAAGAATTACACCGTATTCTTCATTCCCAAGAGTTCTGGGTTGTTGGTGATCCCAAGCCATCTGCCTATACAATGCAGGGCTATTGGCCTTGTACTGTACTTGATGACATTGTGTGACCATGGCGTGAGGTGTATTATAGAAGAGGCTTTAGTGGCTGTTCAAACATAAGGGAGAGAATCAGCCTGAAGGAGGAGTAAGATAAATATTAAACCTTATTTTTCACCCATTAGTGTTGACAGGCATTTACTGCCTTGACACTTCCCCCACCACCACCACCATAGCTGCAAGGGTCCTTGTGAGGGTCCTGTCATGAAAATAGTGTTGGTGTTCTGGTATAGACTGCTAGCTCTCTGGTAGAGACAAAGCGTGTATGTCAAGGTCCTACCTTTCCTCAGACCTTGTGCTGCTCCATGTGCTGGCATCCATCTTAGGTGTCTGCAAAGCATTGTGGGATCCGTTATGCTTTCAGCTCTCTGCAGCTCCTCCCCCAGGAGGTGGCGGCTTATCACATATAAGTCTGCAGTTTGTAGCTGTCCATTGCATTTCGTGTCCTGTCTGTTGCACAAAGCAAGCTCCTGTTTAGCTACTCATTGCTCTCCTGGATACCGACTCGGCTTTGGCTAAGACTCCTCCTGGCTCCTGATCCCGGCTCTGGCAACCATTCTTCCTGGCTCTTGACCCCGGCTCTGGCGACGATTCTTCCTGGCTCTTGACCCCGGCTCTGGCGACGATTCTTCCTGGCTCTTGACCCCGGCTCTGGCGACCATTCTTCCTGGCTCTTGACCCCGGCTTTGGCTATGATTTCCGCTGTTGGACTTGCATAGACTCTTGTCTTATTTTTATATTAATAAACCTACCTTTAATTGCACCTCCTTGTGTGTCTGGCTCCTCACTCCCTGACAATGTACAGAGGAGCACCTTGAACAAAAATGAATCTCACTTAAAGGTCTTTTTAAAACCTTTAATGGTTAAAGTGGAACTAAACCCTCTTATCCTTTTCAGCCAAGGAAGCTGCCATCTTGGTCTCCATTGGATCTCCTTGGTGATTTTTACCTATAGGTAAGTTTATAATAAAGCTTACCTGTAGATAAAATTAATGTCTCCTAAATGTGTACCATTTTTAGGAGATATTTGCTCTTTCGGCAACCGGCGCATGCACTTTTAAGGAATGGCATACCTCTGCTGTTCCTTCAGAGTGCTGTGCTGTGGCCCGTAACTCCCATGTGCTTGCGTGAACCCGGAAGGAAGACCTGGTGAAGATGGAAGCCCTGTCAACGGTGACCATGCGCCGCCGGAGGACTGCGTTCTAAGGTAAGTATTTCATAATGTGCTAGTATGCAATGCATAGGCTCTATTTGCTGAAATTGGCTCTATTTGATGCTTAAAGCAGTTGTAAACTGCGATATATAAAAAAAATTTCAATATACTAGCACATTATGCCATTGCCTTTTTTAAATGTTGCGGTTTACTATTGCTTTAAGCATCACAGAGCCAACGCGTTTTGGGATGAAAAAGCCTCCCCCTTCACGGCTTGAGTAGCTGATGTTACCAGAATCACGATAGAATGTGCAAAGAAAGCCTTTAGTGCCATCAGGAAATGCTAGTCTTCATCAAGCCTTAATGACTTGGTCCGTTCTGCCATGATTCTATTAACGTCGACTGCTAAAACTTTGAGGAAGGCTTTCCCCCCCCAAAACACATTGGCTGTATTTGATGCTCTTAACCATTAAATGTTTCAAAAAGTCCTTTTAAGTGAGATTAATTTTTTTACCAGGCGCTCCTTCATACATATCCAAGAAACTCACAAGATGGCCATTTCATGCCTAGGTAAGGATGCATCCGTTTGTGAGTCAGGAGGCTCATAAAAGTCAGTTCAGCCCACAAATGATGCCAACGCAGTTTGTTGTTGACAGGTCCTCTTAAAACACAAGAACACCAGTTGCTTCTGAACCATGTGTAATGAGTAATGAAGCTTTTTTTTAATTTATTTTTTTTAAGTGTAATAAATCTGCATGACTCAGTTTCCTAGTCCTTTGCTTGCGTGAAGGTAATAATTATAAGCTTGCAGGATCTATTCCTCTTAGCAAAAGGACATTTTCCAATTTGCTGCTTTGTTAATCTCACATAAATATATATAGATAAAGTGTGCATCCGTTTTTTTTATTTGCTTTTTGCTCTGTAATAGATTTAATGTCGGAGGTGCACTTTGCAGCTTCATCTCGGGCTGACGAGTTTATTCTGTAAGTGCCCTGTGATATATTGTGTGACGCTCCCCTAAAAGCAGGCAGCAAGTGTATGGGGCTGCCTTGTAAAAGTCTGGCCTGCTGCAAATTGATTTAGGTAATGTCTTTGTGCTTCTCAGCAAAGTGGTTTCTGTATCCAGAGGACTGCTAATTATGACAGACCAGAGAATGGTTTGTGCGCCGGTCCCTTAAGAATGTGGCAAACAATACGTCCTCGTTTTCTCCATTTCAGCCCTTCTTTTGCTCACAAAGCTTTGTAACATGCATTCGATTAACGAAAGGGGTAGCTTTCCAGTAGATGATACAACCAATCTTCTGCAAGAGGAAATCGTATAATGTAATGCTACCCCTCCAATGGTTTGACAGGGAACCTAAAAGACAAACTCCAGGCAGATATGAAAACTCCATTTAATGTAGTTGGGTATACCTTTAACCACCTCCCATCCAGCCATTGTATATAAACGGCCGGATGGTGGCAGTGCAGGGTCGGGTGGCCGTTTATAAACGGCCTCCCCGCACCCTGCTTGTGCGTGCTCCTTGGGAGCGCGCAGCACCGCGATCTGGTGCCCGCTGTGTCCTCTGGACACAGTGGAACACCGATCATCTGTACGAGGTCCCGATCATGTGATTGGCCAATCAGTGAACACATGCAGAGTAGTAAGCAAGATGTCATTTGTGACATCATTGCTTACTATGTGTGAAATCTGTGAATGATCACAACAGCCTTGTACCATGTGACAAGCTGTGACCAATCACAGCTCACTCAGTAGTTCTCAATGGCTGCAAGAATGCAGCTAGAGAGAAGGGAAAAGTATCCTTTCTGGGTGTAAAAGCAATTGGTGTAAAAAAAATAAAAATAAATCTTCATCAGCCCCCACAAGTAGTACAGTGTCAACATGGTAACACTGTACTGCTAGGGTGACAGTATGTAAAAAAAAAAAATAATAAAAAATATTATAATTTTTGGTTATAAACTAATTTGGGTTATTTTTTTTCTCTTTTACTACAAAGATAACGGAATACATTTTGGCCAAGATTTATGATGAAATACTATTGATTTGCAAAATGTTATAAGAAAAAACACTTTTTTTTTTTCTTCAAAATTTTGCACTTTTTAATTTACATAGCAAAAAAAAATAATCCCAGTGGTGAATAAATACCACCAAAATAAATATTTATCTGTCTCAAAAAAATGGTAAAGTCATATGAATACAGTGTTGCATGACTGCGCAATTGTAATTCAAAGTGTGATAGCGCTGAAAGCTAAAAATTGGCCTGGACAGGAAGGGGGTAAAAGTCTCCGGACTTGCAGTGGTTATAGGTGGAAGAATGGGTTTGACCTACCAAAGGATTTTTATTTATTTTTTTCATCCATTTCTGAGATTCACACATCTCCGCCACAAAGCACAGTCCTTGGAAATATAGAATAAAGAGAGGAAGGGATATAGTACACAAAGTGCCAACATCCCTAACGAATACAAGGGGGGGGGGTCCTCTTTTTTTTTTTTTGGGTGGGATTTTAACTGCACAAATTGTTTAAATATGATAAATTTAAACAATTCAAAGGAGATTTTTTTTATAAAAACAGTATGAAATTTTATTTTTACAATCTTCAAAAGTAAATATAAAGCTACAATACATATTGCGGCGGTGTCGTCAGAGATGGTGATGCGAATCTAATCATGGATCATGCCTGGTTCGCACTTGACGCATTTCGAGAAAAACAAAAATCTCTTCTTCAGAAGTGCTCAAGAAGGCATGACATATGATTCCATGTGAGGTACAAACCGGCAGGAAGAACAGTTAAGAACAAATTGTTATGTGAACACAGCCACAAATTTCTCATATGTCAGGCAAAAATGATATTTGCAAATATAGAAAGGAGCGCCAGACTCCACAAAAGACAAAGGAGCGCCATTACTACTCAACAATTGCTGTCATGTTGCTCCATGCGGAGAGTTCATTACTGGTGCTAATATAGCCCTGATGAAGGAGTGGTGTTCCCTCGAAACAGGTTGGCTGTTTCTATGATTTCTTCTTCTTTTTTTTTTTTTAACCAACAATTAAAATTATCTGGGACTATTTCATCCTGTTTTGGTCTGACACTCTTTACTGTATTTGTATAGTTTGAGCTACCGTTGGGTGCTCGCCAACCTCAGCCTTTCCATGCGGAAGCTGCATCTCCAGAGTTATCGAGGGAGATTTACCTTCACTTCCTGTCCCACACCTAAAACAGGAGGTGAAAGAAAAGCCCTGCAAGCTAAGGGAATTCCTTGAGGGCCACCAGGTCATCAGAACAAGTATCTCCAGTTGAAGATTTCCCCTCTACAACTTTTCTGGGGACAACCCAACATTTGGCATTTTCTTTCACTTTCAATGATAATAGCAAACAGGACAAATAAAGAGGGTAACGCTCTCTAAGGGGGGCACAGAAAGCTATAAAAACCTAATGGGTGTTCTAATCCATCTCCACTCCATCCAAAACTAAAAAGAAAAAAAAAAAGTTTTGCCTTTAATTATACTGTAATCCTAAATGTTATGCCATCAGGTGGCCACGTGCATGAGGCCTACGTTAATTTACACACCAAGACATCCTTTACACAGCCGTAGAAATGTTACTAGAAATTGTTTTTTTTTTTTTTTTTTCCTTTAAGGAGAAAAGTTCTTGCGTAATGAAAAATAAATCAATAAAAAAAATAATAAAAATATATATATATATATATAGATCTCGCACAGGCGCTTTTAAATGCATAAAGACTAGTATGCATACATAACTTGTTTTTTATGATCCCCCCCCCCCCCCCCACACACACACACACACCTTATTTAGACTTAGTGTTACTACACCCATGACCCTGCATTCATTCACTCTATCTGGTCTCCCACTGTACACAGAAATGCAATTATTTATTTATTTCAGGTACTTATATAACGCCGTCAATTTACGCAGCACTTTACATATATATTGTACATTCACATCATTCCCTAACCCTCAAGGAGTGTACAATCTAAGGTCCCTAACTCACATTCATACATACACATACTAGGACCAATTTAGACAGGATCCAATTAACCTACCAGCATGTCTTTGGATTGTGGGAGGAAACCGGAGTACCTGGAGGAAACCCACGCAGGCACAGGGAGAACATGCAAACTCCAGGCAGGTGGTGCCGTGGTTGGGATTCGAACCAACGACCCGAGTACTGCCAGGCGGAAGTGCTAACCACTAAGCCACTGTGCTGCCCAATTTTAGTAAATATAAACTGCTAAATACCTTTTCTCATCAGCAGTTAGAGCAGTCTTGTGACTATCAGTGTCCAGCTGAGCACATGTTACATCTTGTAGGAGGAGTTTTCAGTTTGCTCTAGGAGGATGCAGAACCCCTTACCTCTGGACAGTGCTAATTGGCCCTGTACTGATCACATGCACTCTCCCAAGAAAACAAAACCTCTCTAGTCATACACACCAAACTGAGCATGTGCAGAGTGTCCCACATAATACGTCTTATCAGGAGATGAGAGGGGGACACTGAAAGAAGGGGAGGATCAGAGAAGTCAGGATTAAACAGCCTTTTTACACAATGCAGAGGATAAACCACTTAGGTTCCACAGTGAGTATAGCAAGTATGCTTTACTGCATAAACAGACTGATTTTACTGTTGCGGGTTTAGTAACACTTTAAATTGCAGGCAGTGTTAAAAATATAAAATGTCTCCCAAGCTGATGAAGAATATCATTGTTTTTCTATGGTATTAAACAACTGATGTGTGTATAACGCCAAGCTGATGATTCCTACCATTTCCACATTGGGAACCCAGGCACTTGGCTTCATTATTTTCAATAAGAGGATTAACCCCTTAGGTTCCACAGTGAGTATAACAAGCATGCTTTACTGCGTATACAGCTGATTTTACTGTTGTGGGTTTAGTAACACTTTCATTTATTTAGGACAATGTAGCTGCACCTGTAATAAAAAAAAAAAAAAAAAAAAAAAAAAAAAAAGATTGTATGTGCGTTTTTTTTTTTTTTCCTTACACGGCTGTGAATGAAGCCTAGAGCTGCTAAATCTGGCTTGGGCATCGGTGAGCTCGAAGGGTTAATTCTTTCCCAGCCATAGGTCATTTATATTGGTTCCAGTAAATAATCCGGATGGTAAGCGTTGTCTCCTAGCATTGGCCGACTGGAGAAGTTGTGTGTTTTTCCAGTGAAATAACCCCTATGGATAAATAAACACACGGCTCTGTACATTTCTGTTATTTTTCCTTTTTTATTCTCTCCTGCATTATTATATATTTGGATTTTTTTTTTTTTTTCTCGCTGACATTTTGTTAAGCTTTTTGGCTTGCAGGCGACATATTATTAAGTAGACTAATGGGGGTTCAGACTAAGCCAACACCAACACAGAGAAAGGAAGTGTATTTCCCTTCATTTAATTGTACGCTTTTATTGTGAAGTTCATGCAGGATGTGAGGGAAAACCCATTAGACGGGTGAAAAAAAAATATATATAAAGGCAACCCAGAAAACACATGCAGCTTATTGTAAGGAATTAATAGAGGGAATGTAGAAGCAATGCTAGGATTCAGACATTAAGTGATTTATTTGTTCTCGTCTCGCCATACCTGGCTTTTTTAATTACATTTAAAGGCGCAACGGACCGCAAATGGCTTTGAAAGGAGCACTTAAAGCCGAAGCAAGCAAATATGGAAATGTCATTTAAAGTGGAACTACACTGCATCTGAGAGCCACAAACCAAAATGCAAATTCATTTTTAATAATTATTTCAGGTACTTATATAGCGCCGTCAATTTACGCAGCGCTTTACATATACATTATACATTCACATCAGTCCCTCACCCTCAAGGGGTGTACAATCTAAGGTCCCTAACTTACATTCATACATACACATACTAGGGCCAATTTAGACAGGAGCCAATTATCCTACCAGCATGTCTTTGGAGTGTGGGAGGTACCCGGAGGAAACCCACGCAGGCACAGGGAGAACATGCAAACTCCAGGCAGGTGGTGCCGTGGTCGGGATTCGAACCAATGACCCTAGTACTGCCAGGTGCAAGTGCTAACCATTTAGCAGCTGTGCTGCCCAAATTAGAGTACTTTTACTTACCTTATCCCTTGCTTCCCTGACAGCTGACGATCACCTATTCTCTACAACATTCTCTCTTGTGAGCGAGCCCCCAAACATCCACACAGGCACATGGAGAACATGCAAACTCCAGGCAGGTGGTGCCGTGGCTGGGATTCAAACCAACGACCCTAGTACTGCCAGGCGGAAGTGCTAACCATTGAGCCACTGTGCTGCCCAATATTCAAAACAAACTCGCCCATCCATCTATGTCTCCATGCTTTATTTTGCTAAGAAATCAATTTGAAAACACCCCCAACGTATCTAACCATGGACCTCTTGGGTAAGGGCTGGTGATTCATGTAGCATTTACTTTCAGGAATCCATCTGCCCTTGGCTCAGGCACGCAGGCAGCAGGTGTGTTTAGCTGAGCAAAACTACTCCTCCCACCCCCTGGGACAACTGGGATGTATGACATCATTTGCCTACGCCTGGAAGTAACTGAAGGAATAGAAGTAAAAAAAAAAAAAAAAGTTTCAATCAAGTAAATATAATATAATTTCCTATCTATTTACTAATGCTAGCAAGATAAGGATTAAAAATAGTCAATCTTAATTGAGAGTGTTCCACTTTTAACCTAGCTATGTATTAAAAAAAAAAATAAATTACACTAAGGGTTACCTTACACTAGCATTAGTCCTCTGAAGAACCTTCGGATTGCTTTTCAGAGTGTATGACAGGTGGTCAGGAAGCCTACTCGCTGTCTTTTAAAGATGTCGAGCCCTTCCTCTGGCTCCCAAGAAGTTGGAGAATGCCTCAAAGAAAAACAAACTCACAATAGTGTATTACCTCAATAACAATATTCCATATCACTCTATATTTAGTGCAAAAAAAATGTGCAAAAGACCAAAATTTTTTTTTTTTTTTTTTGTGAAATAATCTGCTTACATCAGACAAATAAAAACAAGCATAGTAAGTGTATTCCCAGTTCAAAGGGTTACCAGGCAGCTTCCAGGTGGGTTTCTCTGCGGTTTCCAAACTCTAAGATGGCCGCCGTACCACTTCCGGTTCCTGCTATACGTCCGACGTCACTTTCTGTGACGCGTTTCGTCACCCATGGACAAAGCCACTCCACCCAGTTACTTCGCCCACTCCAGTTGTAGACTACTGGTGGAGGCAAGAACACTTCACACATTTTCCCCAGAAATTGTAGCTATTCTAGTTATTATTATTTTTAAGAAAAAAGATTTGGAATATGCTGAGAGCAATAGAAGGTATTTTTGGATTTCTTTTGTGTTGGGTAGGTTAAATAAAAAATTAAAAAAAAAGTCAGGGTGATGGGTGGTACTTACATTTAATGCAAAGTGTCCCTTGTGCTGGTGATTCATCCTCCTCCCCTTTCCATACCCACAGCTGTAAATGAAATATCCAGCGTGTTTCGGGTGCCCAAAAAATTCCCCCTTCGTCAGGGCTGCCCATAGGATAAAACTAGAATGGATGTACATTTAGACTGCAATTGAACGCTCCTCACGATGTAATAATAGTGTAATAGATGCTGAATGGCAGTTGGAAGTAATATATGCGATGTGCCATTTTAGGCTAAACCCCAACAATAACATTCTCTTGATTTTCTGTTAAGTCTCAATTATCAGTCATTATTATGCATCCATTAGTGTTATTAGCTATACTTTCATAAACCGGATTGTAATTTAGGTATAGTGACCCTGTGTGATGCACAGGCTCCTCCAGATCGCTGTCACCACGGTCACATGATCAGGAAAGGTCCCGATCTCCTCTTTCGATTGGGACCTTTTCGTGAGTACCGGACACGTGCGCTGGTAGCGCGCAGGGCGTGCACTCTCAGCACATATGTCTTTTTTTTTTTTTAATAGAACGCAAATGTGTGGCCGCTCGGCGTCTAGGCCCAGACACAGGGAGGCCGCACATTTGCGTTCGGCCAGCGTGAAGAGATTAAACAAAACATAAAATGTCATATATTGCACCTTACCAATCATTCGATGCGGTGGCTGCATTCGTTTTCTTTTTTTTTAGCCCTTGGTTATCTAGCGGAAACACACCTCCAGTATTAGTGAGACATCACCATCACTCTGGATGAATGAGCACAGGAGGCACAGCAGACAGTAGCATTATCAGTCTGGGGGGGAGGGGAGTAATCAATGTATTAGCAAATATAAAAAAACTTTACGTTGCTTGCTAGAGGATCAGATTGGATGTACATGAGTGTAAATGGACACAAGTCCGGTTACACGCTCCAGTTAATAGGGGCAAATGTAGGGTCTGATAATGTCCACCTGAAAAACAGGTGAACCTGATCAGACGCTTTGTGTGAAACAGGCCTAAAAAGGAAAACTAATGCTGCCACCATATCAAAGAACTGCTCGGCTGCATTAAATGACATTTTTGTTCTTGAGCTTGAATAAAATTTACGCAACTCCTAGATTTCCAGACCTGCAAGATAAAGTAGAGGTAACAGAGATCCTGTTTCAAAAGCAAGGGACCTGTTCATCACAAAATAAAAATGTAATTGAATTAATAAAACAGAGTTATAATAAAATAAATGAATAATAAATCTGAGCACTGGCAGGTGCCTGCTGGCAGCAGGTATAGGGTCAGTTTCCTTAGTTTCATATGGATATAGTGTGCTTTTAAAGGTGTCAGAACCCATGGTCACCAACTCCCATCCCTGCTGTATCCATGAACTGAAACAGCATCTTTTTTAATTTGTAGCACAGGAACCCATGATCGCCAATTCTGGCCCCCTTCTGGCCAAGCAACAGAATTGGGTGTTCAGGCCTTCCATCACCGTGAAGGGCCAGCAAATCCAATGCCCATGGTTTTCGAGTGGAATGCCCAACAAGCTCACATACTGTAGGTGTGATGGTGAGGTGTCCACAAACTTTTGTCTATAGTGTATCTCAACAATTACAACTGAACTCCTGAGAAATGGAAAGAAAATATCCTTGTAGTAGGGCTCCATTCACACTGCAAGGGTTAAAGGCATGTTTTCGACCCATGATCGCCACCCTCTGGCTCTCTTCCTGCTAAAGGTCGGAACTGAGAATTCAGGCCCTTCATCGCAGGGATGGGCCAACAAAGTCCATGCCCATAGTTTTGGAGTGGAATGTCACAATAAAATTAATTTAAAAAAAAAAAAAGAAAAAAATCAAGGGCTCGGCAGCCCCATGGGTCTAGAGCAAAAAGCACTGAGGCCATTGCAAGTAGGTTGTGTTCCCTAAAGCAAGCTATAATTGTCCGTTCTGACTAGAGTACCTTTCAAGCTCAGTTGCATATTTGAGTTGAATCTTTTTTGCATTTCATTACAAGTGGAGAAAACCAGCTTATTATGACTCAGCCTCTCCGGCACAATAGCCTTGTGTTAAAGAACGGCTCAGACTAACAGATGAACAATAAATTCTGCCATGCTCACTTGTCATGGACTGCTGTTTTCTGATAAATATATTTAAAATGATTGGAAAAGCCCTGCTCACACACATACAGTTGTGACCAAAATTATTCAACCCCCACTGAAATTGAGTGTTTTGGCCAGTTTGACATTGCTTTTGATCA